CAGGACTCTTGATTTTCCCCTGTGCTGGAACCTCAGTGTCCATGGGTGGACTCCAATTGTCTATTAGTGGCTCTCTGGCCTTGATGAGACCCTGAATGTCTGGGATTTACCTACTGATTGGCCATAAATAGATTCATATTGGTTTCTGAATTAGATTCAGACTATCCATGGGTTGATTCTGACTGTCTCTCTGAATCTTCTGATTGTCCTTCACTGTCATGGGCTTGACCAGTAGTGGATCTCTGATGTTTTCTTGTTGTGGATCTAATGTGTATAGAAGATGATTGCCTGTGAGAGGACCCAGATTGTCTATAAATAGACTCATGCCTTTATTTTGTGTTGGACCTAAATTCTTCATCGGCAGACCCAGCTTGCCTATGAGTAGATATCCATGCCTGATAGAACTCTGGACTGTATCCTAATTTCCCATGACTGGAGTCTTGTGCTAGCTCAGACTCCTTATCATCATGGGAAGGAAAAGACTTTCTTTTCCTGTCTCCCGATTGTCCTTCACTGTCACTGGACTGGCTGTAACTGGATCCGCCTTATTTGCTTATCCTGGAACCAGACTGAGTAAATGATGATTGTGTGTGAGTAAATCCTGAGTGCCCACAGCTGTCTTTTGTTTGTGGTTAAATTGTAAATTGTATAATTGGTGCTGGATCTTGGCTGTCCATGGGTAGGTCCAGACTGTGTGTGTCTGTTCTTGATAATACTCCGAATATCTAGACCTTTCTTCTGAGTTTCTGTGTGTCAGCTGTCCATAATCATACTCAGACTGTCCATGGATTGATAATGGCTTTCTACACAAGTCTCTTGATGTATGTCACTATCACTACTATAATTGGATCCTCAATGTCTGTTTATACTTGAGCCAGGCTTTGTAGATGCAGATTGTCTGTGACCATATCTGGAATATCTAGAGTGATTTCCTGGTTATCCATAACCATATACATGTCTTCCTGTTATACTGGACGGGGATTCTCCTTGAATGGACCCAGAGTGTCCATAAATTGCTATCTGGCCATGTTGACATCCTGAATATCTAGAGCTGTCTTCTGACTCCCCATGGCTAGAACCCTGTCTTTTTCTTATGCTAGACCATGATTGCTTATGACCATACTGAGACTGACCATGGGTGAAAGCTGACTGTATATCTCAAGCTCCTGATTGTCCTTTAATATCAGTAGATTGACTATAACTGGATGCTTGTTTTCTGTTTTTACTGATAACATATTCTGTGGATATTAACTGAATGTCCATTTCTATCTCCTGACTATCTATAGCTAGATTCTTGTCTCTCTTTTCTGCTGGACTCAGACTTTTCATGGATTAATGCTGATCCTCTATCTGAGTCTCTTGATTGTCCTTTGTCAGCCTGACTATAACTGTGCTGGTGATGATTGTTTATGAGTAGGCTCCAAGCATTCAGGGTTATCTTCCAAGTGTTCATGGTAGATGTATGTCTTCCTGTTTTATTGGACTCGGCTTCTCCATGACTAGACCCAAACTGTTTGTGAATTTATATCTGGCCATGGTAAGACACAGATTGTCTAGAGGTGTCTCCTGTCTGTTCATGGCTGGCTGTCTGTTTTTATTGTTGGATCCTGATCATCTATGTTTAGAGTTAGACTAACCGTTACTGGATGTTTGTCTCTGACAAGACCTAGAATTTAGAGTTTATAGAACTATCTCTTAAGTTTCTACAACTGCATCTTTCTTTTTCTCTTATGCTAGATCCTGACTGTCTTTATCCATACTCAGACTGTCCATGAGTTGATTCTGACTCTTTCTCTGTGTCTCCAATTGTATTTTATTATCACTGGCCTGATTTTAACTTCATCTTTGATGTCTGCTTACAGTGAGTCCAGAATGTGTTAATAATGCTTGTCTGTGAATTGACCCTGAAGGTCTTTTGATTATCCATAAGTGAACCCATTTCTTTCCTTTGTGTTGAACACAGATTCTTTATTGGAAGACTCAGGTTGCCTGTGAGTAGATGCTTATCCTTGATGAGTTACTGGCATAGCTTTTGACTGTCCATGGCTAGAGCCATCTCTTTTTCTTGTGCTGTGCATGCCCACACAGAACTTGACCATAGGAGAAGGGTGACTGTCTATCTCAATCTCCTGATTGTGCTTCTTCACTGGACTGAGTAAAATTAGATCTCTGCTGTCTGTTTATACTAGATCTAGACTGTACAGGTAATAATTGTCTGTAGGAAGATAATGAATGTCCAGAGCTCTCTCCTGACTAACTGTGGCTGGATCTATGTCTTATTGTATTGGGCCTAGATTCTCCATATGAGGACCTAGACTGTCCATAGGTACATATCTGTCCCCAGTGTCTACTGCTATCTTGTGATTGTGGCTAGAGCCTTGTTTTTTTATTTTGTCAGATTTCTGTTGTTTATGTCCATACCCAGGCTGTTCGTGGTTGATGCTGACTGTCTATCTGAATTTTATGATTGTCATTCACTATCATTAGGTTGACTATACCTGGTTACCTTTGTCCACTTTATAGACTCCAGGTTCTATAGGTAATGATTGGCTATGAGTTGATTCTGAATTTCTGGCACTCTTTCCTGACTGTCCATGATTGGATGCATGTAAATTGTCAATGACTGGTTATCTGGCCATGCTGAGATCCTGACTATCTAGAGCTATTTCCTATTTGACAATGGCTAGGGTTTTGTTTTCCTCTTGTGTTAGATACATATTGCCTATTCTTCTGAATCTCCTGATTGTCACTCACTGTCACTGGATTGACTATAGCCAGACCTACTGGCATATAGGTGGCATATCAAAGGACTAGACTGAAACTCTCTAGGGAAGAATGTATAGATACAAAAGGAAAAACGCAATGGGTAGAACTGTGGAGCCCTTTCAACCTTTAGAAGTCGAGAAGAGGAGACAGAGCCAGCCAAGCAGACCCAGAAGTAGTGGCCAGTGAGGTAAGAGGAAATCCAGGAAAATATGGTGTCATAGAAGCCAAGAGAAGGAGGGAAAGGTTAACTAAATGCTAAATGCTGCCAAGATATCAAGCAATTGAAATTACCACTGAATTTGGCAATATGGATGTAATCTAGCTGCCTCTTTGGCATTTCAAGATGTTTATAGCCATTTAAAACTTAACAAAAACAGAACTCCTGATTTCTCTTTCATCAAACTATACTGTACCCATTTTTCTTCACCTAAATAACCATAAAAAGTATCATCATCTATCCACTTGGTCAGACTAAAATATTAGGTGTCATCCTTCATTCCTCTTTCTCTCATCTTCTATGTATAATCCATCAGCAAGTCCTACCAGTTTTCTCTTCAAAATATTCTCAATCATTTTGATTTCCATCTTTATTGCTACCAACCTAGTCCATGCCACCATCATCTCAGCTATTCTATTGCA